TAAAGGTAATGCCAGAATTTTCATTTTTGGATTGATTCAGTGGATGATCTTTTCATTTATGTATAAAGCTTTAGGATTTCTACATTTCTAGCTTGACAGTCGTGCCGAGAGTAAAATGAGCTTCATTGTTTCAGTGAAATACTAGAAAAGAGAACAGCCAATTTTGATAAACAAGTGTCCAAATGTGAAAGACGGGAGAAAATCATCTTTTGCATCCATTTTGAGCACACACTTTCTGTCCTCTACTGCCATGTCACTCAATTAAAAAGTATTTATTTTGCTTGTGTAATTTGAACTGCGTCATATCGTTCTTTTCCTGCTCTCTTTAATCGATTTCTAATATCTTTCTGATCTATTTTTGAACAAATGACTTGCAGCATATTGCAAGTGTTTCGCTGAACTGTTTGTTGAATGACTTCTGGTGTATGGTTTATAACTGTTAGAGGTGTGATTGCACATGGTCATGTTTATATGGGCTACGTCTAAAAATATGACCCTCATTTTCTAACTAAGAAAGCATAGTTTCAACAGAAATCCTGTCTGTTAATAAGACAAGCTTGTCGGATACATTTCATTTTGGTGTTTTAAAGTTGTGCAAACACTGTACAGTTGATGTGAACCTAGCTCCTGTTTATAATCAGCCCAGCAATATGCTTTTTCACACAGTTGTGATATAAAGCAAATGCTTTATTGTTATAAACATGGCCGCTGAGATCTGATTGCCTATAGTTACTGCACACGGTTTCTCTAAGCTTGTAAATGCGGTAGGTTTCTAGAATTTTTCTTTCCTTTGATTTTGGACGTGAATTGTGACATGTTTTCGTGAGATTTGCCCTCTTAATGAGACCAAGCATTGATTTGCTGTGTATGAATCCAGTGATTTGAATTAAAGCGGAGTACCTGGTTGTGCAAGAATCGATTGCGTTGTGTTTTCTCTGCCTCTCTCTCTCTCGCGTTTGGCCTTTCTCTTTGTCTCAGAGGTGCTATTTATAGTTGCCCTGTTTTTTCCTCTCCATCTCTGAATCTTTTTCCCTTGTGTCACTGGAGCTATAGTGTGTATCTCCACATCACATCACTGATAAACTGATAGGAGGGCGCCAGTGCCTCTTAAAATCCTCTCATTTACATATTGTATCTATTGCGTGGTGTACAGTAATAGCCCAGGGGCTGCAGCTCTTCTCTATCTGTGAGCGCATCTGTTGCTCTGTGGATCAAATTCAATATGACGCTCGGCCATAACAGTGAGGGAGTGAAGATAGCTATCAGAAAGCATCGGCACAGGACAGAAAATGCCAAATGCACTTTTTGTAGAAAGTTATAATTCATTTATTTCATGAGTGAGAGAGAGTGTCCAATAAAAGATGGGTTACAGAGAAAAAGTGAGTAGTATTATGTTGGTCTTGTGAGTCTTCATCTCATGTTACTTTATGTTTTAAACTATTCATTTATTTTGTGGTAAAATGAGGAAATGGTTATTATGTTCATCTTTTGGATTGTTCTGTATTGTAAGCAAAGTTTATTACCATGATTTGTTTCTGAAATTTAAATTTTGAGCTCTCATTTATAGTCTAATGGATATAGATTCTAAATTATAGTCATTGTATTACATTAAAAATGTACTAGGTTGTTTTTTGCAGTTTTTATTTCACAATGGTTCTGTAAACAGTGTTATTGTTGATAATTAAAACTAGAACAATAAAGCGTTTTTGTTTGAAATTAATTGCAAATAAACCTAAAATATTAGATGGGGAAACAAAGTCGCATGTACTAAAATTACTAAAACGAATAAATATGAATTAGCACTAATATTAAAGTGACGTTATTAAATATAATAATATAGTGCTGTTCATTATCCTTATGCTGAAATTTATGATCTAAGTTTTAGGCTACCATAATTGTAATATCTAGTGCATTTGACTTGTGTATTAAACAGTGGTCGCTGGATGTGTGTTTCACAAATTTAAACATATTGGAGGGAAATTGTATAAATACTAATACTACTACTACTACTACAAATAAATGCTGTAATAGTGTATAAATAATACTAAAATGACACTGCCTAAAATAGTCTTCTTCATTTTTAAAACGTGATTTCTCATGTGTATCTTTTGATTTTGGGGTGAAATATACCCTGGGCGTGTTCTTTGTGAATTTCATCCAAAATGGAAAGTGGTGAGAGAGAAGAGAGATGAATGGAGTTAGAAGAAGGAAGCAGGCCAGATCACAGATGGTCGTTTAGCCTCCCGAAGAGACCCATCGTTTCAGTAATCATTTAACACCGCAGGCCTGCCGTCTTCCTCAACACAGTTTTGTCTCCTCTGCTCTGACCCTCACGCCGTGTGTTGTGTCGCCTATGCACTCACCCAGCAATCACCGCCACAGCTCCATCAAGGCTGATTAACAACCTGTGTTGGTGGGCTACATCTGGTGTACACGTCCCTCACAGCGCTGTGCTGTTTGGAGCCGCTGCGCTCTGTTGGTTAGGATTGCATACCCAAGTGCTATTTGTGCCCAGCTTTGAGCAGTGCAGTGTAGATTCACTGACTCGCTGCTTGATTCATGTTGACACCCTTACTGTCATTTCCTATCTCTGCCACACTGGCTCTCTCCGCTCTCCCTGCACCGTCCTCCCCTCACCAGACTTACGTAAGACCCGCGCTTTACACAGTGTCCTAACTAGACACGACAAGTTTCCAGTGACAAGTCATTTCTCTGTTCGCACGGAAAGTGAAAAAGCAGCAAAATCACATATTTCATGTTTAACGACTGCTTGTGCTCACCTCAGATTAAGATAACAAATCAAAAATGGCCCTTACTTTAAAACATGCTCCTGGTCATTTTGAGAATGATTTGTCAGTGCACATTATTCAAAACAAACAAAAATGTTTGCCTTTATAATTTTCCATCAATATGTAAATAACATTCTCCGCCTCTTAAACAACTTTCCTATTTGGCTGACATCACCAGTCCCTCTTATTTTTAGCCCCACCCCTCCAACTACTTTGTATACAGTGACACTTTTCACTATCCAATCAATTAGCGAATTAACTAACCATAACAGAATGGTTCACTCACCTTTAGGAGGATGTTTCTTAAGATTTGGAAAAATTTTAAATTACATCACTTACTCACCACTGGATCCTCTGCAGTGAATGGGTGCCGTCAGAATGAGAGTCCAAACAGCTGATAAAAACATCACAATTATCCACAAGTAATCCACACCACTCCAGTCCATCAGTTTTATAAGAAACAAATCCATCATTAAAACATTTTTAACTTCAGATCATTGCTTCCAGCTAAAATACAAGTCCTCTGTCCATAAAATTGTTTTCTCCATTGGAATCAAGAGAGAAATATGCACAGATCAAGTACCATTTACAAGCCAAACAGACCAAAACAGTTCTAAATATGTCAGTGTTTTTTTATGTGACAGAAAAACAGAAGATGGACTTTTCACTGGAGGAAGTGTTATAATAGATTATAGACTTTTTTGACCATGACGGGTTAAAGTTAATGATAGAGTTGTTTCTCATAAACCCGCAGCGTTTTGATTCACAAGAGGTTCATTGATGGACTGGAGTGGTGTGGATTACTTGTGGATTATTGTGATGTTTGTATCAGCTGTTTGGACTCTCATTCTGACGGCACCCATTCACTGCAGAGCATCCATTGGTGAGCAAGTGATGTAATGCTACATTTCTCCAAATCTGTTCTGATGAAGAAACAAACTCATCTACATCTTGGATGGCCTGATGGTGAATACATTTTCAGCAAATTTTCAATTTTTGGGTTAACTTTTTCCTTAAATAATATTAACAGATACAACTTTTGATTTTAATAATGTATTACTAAATGTTGAAATTAATTAATGAGATTAATAAATGATTAAGAAGTATTTTTCATTGTTAATTCATGTTAAATAACATAGTTAACTAATATAATCTTGGCAAACATGGTAAGCAGCTTTTGGCTGTCTGCTATGGAGGGGCTCAGGGAGGATGTTCTACTCGAGCTCGGCTTTGCCTATTGATGATTACATAGGCAAAACACATGCAGGAGAAACACAAGAAGGAGAAGCAGGAATGCCGAAAGAACTGACATCGTGAAGAATTAAGAGGCTGCTTTTATATCCTGGAAATAATTAGAAATTAGATGGGCGTACTCCTCCCAAACGTATGTTTACAGTTTTTTTTTTTTATTGGTTTGGTACTATTTTCACAAGTGAGGTGTACATTTTCAAAACTCTTAAACTGATCACACTTGTAACACCACTAGTCATTCTTTCAAAACCTGATCTCATGATTTCATTGTAGTTGTACATATTTTCATTCCACATAATCATTGTTTCAGAACACAAGATTATCGTGATATGTATTGAGAACATTTGGTCTAATCACCAAAACACAACAACAGTAAGATCTTCTTTCAAGTTAGTACTTTTAACAATCAGTTCATTTAAGAGCAAGCAATACAAGATTCATGTTTCAAATCACCTTTGTTGCTGAAATACAGTAAAACAGGCAATAACTGTCATGTTAGAAAATACACTTACGTTACCTAACTTGCATATCTCACATAAAATCAGTAATGTCTTTACCATGGTAATGCTTCTGTGTACAGTATCACATGGCATAATGTAATGTAAAATGCTGTATTTGATGCCGTCTGTCTATTGAATCTATATCTATAGATGCACCAAATGATTCACTGATTAACCATTAAGATGTGTTAGATTAAATAATAGACTAATGTATTAAACTGAATGAGAAGTCATGCAAATGAAAAGTTTGATCGTAAGAGCTTCATGAAAGGCCAGTTACTGTGAATGAAACATTTATATAGATGAAACACTTATTTTGTGTAGTGAGAAGGATATTTTGTGATTGTGTGTATTGTACTAAAACAATGGAAAATATGCTGAAATGTTTGAAAAAAGTGCACTTTTGATGATTTGTTGTGAGATTAGTACTAAGAGTTTTGAAAATGTACCACTTGCTTGTGAAAATAGTACCAAACCAATTTAAAAAACCCGTAATAACTTTATAACTACAAATTGTTGTACAAAGGTACTGATAAACTCAAGTCCTTTGACCATCCTAAATTTTTGCTTGGTTGAATATCCTGTATCATCTGGAAATTTGCAAAAATCCATGTTGATAAATGTTGAGGTGATTACTTTTTATCACATGTTGCTTTGTACCTGGTTGATACGGTGTAATCAGAATCTCATAAAGATCAAGTTATGAATAAAAACAAAAATACAGCTATGTTGAGCAAGGTTTTGGATCAGTGCGATTAATGTCTTGTCAGTTTGTCTGGTTAATACAAGAACTGTCAACTGTCACTTCATTCTTTCACACATGGAGAGCATATGGTATAAATAGAGAACCACAAGTCAGGAAACAAAAATATATTTCAGTACACAGATGAAATCATAACAGTTTCACGAGCAGCAGAAACAGTCTGTGACTATATCATAACTGACAGAAAAACAATCATCCCAGAGAAATGGATGACTAATACTTTTGAATGTGAGATTTGATAGTCTGTCTACCGCAGGACCTTCAGCTCCACGTACTCGCACAGACACAGACAGGAAGTGGAATGATTTTTCCCTGCACTTGTAGGCCGCTGGGGAGGAGCAGGAAGCTTGTTTGAGACCAGCAGTCTGACATAAAGTGCACTGTAGGTCATCAGGAGCTGCTGAGCAATCGCCTGAAGAAAACAGTTGCACATTTTTTACTTGAATTGCTATAAGATTCAACTGAAGACTCAAATGATGCACAACTCATGATGTACAAACTAACCAATCAGAATGGTTATGCAAACGATGGAACATCATTTCCATATAAATAAACAAATACATTATAGGAGGAGGTCTGCTAAACCTTCAGATGACCTGCCTGATTTGTCCCATTAATTTTCCTATAATGACAGTTGTTGGTTTGGTGATGGGAAATATTATTATGCAGCCTTAATGATCAAGGATTTCCTAATATATTAGAAAAAATATGGTAAAGTACTATAATCTTCTATTGTTACCATGTGTTGTATTTGATCAATTTGAATCAGTTTTCATGTAGAATTCTCATTCAAGCTACCATTGGTAAGAATATAGGGACACTTATTTATATTAATAATTTATATTTTTTCACCTCATTTGCGAGAGTGGTGTCAGGCATCAAGCTGAAGTTTTTGGTGAGTTTAGAGTCTTCCCGTTGACTAGTTGATGCGCTTCGCTCTCGTCCCTCCACCAGCAGCGGCTGCTCTTCTTCTGGAAGCTCCTCGTCCTGTACTCCAGCCTCGGGATCCAGGGTCGTGACCTCGGTCACTAGAACTAGGTGGGACATTCTTTTCTTGAGTTTGTTCTGCAGGGTGAAAGGGCAACTTTGTGACATGTTTCTTTCTCTTGCAGTGTTATTTTAGTATCACCGACATACTAATAGTATATTTTAGTATACTATTATAGTTTTATTCACATTTTTTGTTAATTATAGTTTCAGTTTTAGTCATTTTGTTGTGGTTTCCTGTCGTTTTTATTAGTTATCGTTTTTGTTTTAAATATGTCTACATGTAGTTGATTCATTTTAGTTATTTTAGTACATCAAGTAAAACTAAATGAAAATGAGAAATGATGCCTGTCAACTACCTGAAATAAAACGAGTTTACTTTTTTTTTCAGTTGACATAACATATTTTTTTAGAATATCTCTTTGGTTTTGAGACTTTAGTGTTTGCAACTTTACAGATCTTCTTTATGCACCAAGAGCTTGTAACACTCTAAAGAGAAAGGAAAAATTGAAATCGCATCATATGACCCCTTTAACTATAATAACCCTGTTCTCTCATCATTTTTGTCTTCCTATCTGAGTGAGACTAAACAGTAAACTGTTGAAGTGCAACATTTGGATTTAATCTGCGCTCTACAGTTGTTTGATGTACCACTGTTTTTGTAGCACAAAACATTTGTGTATTGATTCTTTTCTATGGAGCCCTTGAAGCATCAACATAAGAGCAAATCAATGAACAAAAGCAAGCCAACCTGTACTTGATCCCTGACAAAACTCATGTTGTCCAGCGCTTCAGTCAGAGATATCAGACATGGGGACAAGTCCCAGTACACACAGAAGAGCTGCGGACAGAAAGAAAGATCAAGCAGAAGAGCAGTTAAACAAGTCTGTTCATGGCTCTATACACATTATCAGTTCCATCAGATAGACTACAGAAGAAGAAATCAAGATAAGGGTGCAACTCAGGAAGGCATTCAGTTATCTGATTATACAGTACAGTTTACAATCTCTTTTACTCTCTAGAGTACCACTAGACCGTTAACCGTCACTCACAACTTTCTGGCTTACAAATTCAGAAATCTATTATTGCTTACAATCTTCCTGGTTTTGTTTGGGAGTGAAATAGAGAAAAAGAAATATGAAATATTGGACTTTAAACGAATGTGTCTATTTTTACCAAATTTATTTGCATGCATATACCATGCATGCAAATAAATTTGGTATATGCATGCAAATAAATTTGGTCAAAATAGACACATTCGTTTAAAGTCCAATATTTCATATTTCTTTTTCTCTATTTCACTCCCAAACAAAACCAGGAAGATTGTAAGCAATAATAGATGCAGGTAGGTGTGTACTGTAGCTTATGCTTCATATATATATTTAAAGGGATAGTAATTCTGTCTTCATTTACACACCCTATTGTCGTTCCAAACCCGTTTGACTTTATTTATTCTCTGGAACACAAAAGATTATATTTTGAAGAATGTCGATAACCAAACAATTTTGGTACACAATGACTTCCACTGTGTGAACAAAAATAACACTGAGACATTCTGCAAAAGAAAAAAAACGTCAAACAGTTTTGACTTCTTCATATTTGGGGGAACTATCCCTTTAAATTGCTCATGCTGCCACAAAAGATGATGGGAAATGTAGTTTTGTCAATAAGACGCCACATATACTGGTTAATTAGTAATATATTCTGGCAAGCTTGATCGCATAAAATGTGTACAAAGTACATCGCACAATCAGCAGTGATGATCAATACCTGTTACCTTCATGCCATAAAACATAATTGACTCCTCACCCAATTCAAAAAGGCCATTCAATGAATGATGATCATGCTGACAAGAGTGGAGATACAGTATACAGTAAACACACATTATGAGTAATTACCTGCAGGTTTCCTCTGCATTTCTGGACCCAGTCAGCCACTCCCAACAGCAGCTTGTGTCTGACCGTGTGCTCATTAACCCCCACCAACCGCACGTCTGTGTTCATGTTGATCTGAAACAGATGCACCTCTTAATCTCAGCTACAATCAGATCTGCATTAAAAGGGAATACGGATTTGTTTTTACAAGAAAGAGCGAGTGATGTGATCGGAGGTGACAGCCCACCTCTCTGTTGCTGTAGTGGAAGATGAGGTTGATGGCAGCGGTGAGGATCACGGACACCAGACTGACACACAGACAGAGCACCCAGAACTCTGCTGTGCTGCCATCGAGGTACATGTGAATGGTCGAGTACACAGCGCACCACAGCACCACATACAAGACCTGCAACAGAAACGCAACACGCTGTATTTCCTTGCAGTCACCTGATCCTCCAAATTCCTGCCTGCTTATTTCTTCTGTCTGATGGCTGCTTGTGTTTTTGTGCAGAATAGTTAAAGGTAAACATCAGGCATGATTTCTGAATCCAAAATGTACTATTTTTAATCTTCTTGTACTGTTTAATCGCATGATAACATGACCAGGTAACATTTCATCCCAAAATGAAAACGTAAAAATGAGAAATGTCTTTTTACATAAAGAAAATGAATCTTATTTTCATCACCATAAAGCCATTTTACTTTTCAGTAATTACCATTATTTTCATTGATGATTCTCATTAGATTCCTATTATTACCATATAGTAATTTTCACTGTATTACAACCATTAAACCTTAACCTTTACTGTAAAAATCCATTCGGCAATAACTATAACACTAAGTATAACTATGTCCGTAGCTATAAAGTTGCAATAATCATTCTAATTCTATGAGAATAGTGAAGTCTACACCACAACTTTAACGATATCACGCAACAGAGGAACGATATTGTTGAAGCATTCAAAATGGCAGTGCACAATTAAAATAAACAAAAAAATTATCACCCAGTGGTGTGATCACTAATATAGTTAGCGTTATAGTTATCTTTGTACTTGTCATTCTTGGTGTGAAGTCCATTAACACATTTCTTATTTAAATTAGCCTAAATGAAAGGCATAAAAGCAATACTACAATTATTTAAACACAATGCATAAATACACTCAAAAAAATGTGTATTGTCAAAAAAAAGGCCACAATGTACGGTATTAATGTAAAGGAATTTTCTGTATTGATTTTTTACAGGTGTTTAACCTATATTTTGAATTTTGCATTGCGTTGTGTTGTGCTTTACAGTTGATGGAAATATCCGTAAAAATTAATGGATAATACCCTGACAGAAATGTTTGGGGTTTGTGTTTGTACTATTTACAATTTATTTATTTAATTTATATTTGGTTTAATTAGTGAAAGTGGAAATCTTAATGGTTCTAAAAAACATTTCTTTAAGAGACTTGTCTAACACTTGTAGTTCTTTTGATTTTGGATAGAAATATGACCTGGGCCCGTATATAACAGGTTATATGAGGTTTCCCATAGTCCTACTGGCTTTGCTCAGTGCTGGAATGTGTGTGACCTGCGATGTTTTAACAGGCTGTTTCTTACGGATGCCATGATGATATTAAAAATGTTTGAGTTGAAAAGCAGGTATCTTCTGACGGACGGGTGGTCCAGCGCTAAACGAAGTGGACCCTCAAAGTCTTCTGCTGGAATCTGAAATTGATTGAACATCAAAGTGGGAGTAAGATGTTGGTTCATTTTAGAAATCCCTAGAAATGATGCTGAAAATGTACTAGCCTGGAAGCCTTTGGTTTCCAGAAGAGTCCTGCAGTGTGAGAAGTCAAACGTGCGAGTGAGCCATGTGGATGTGGACACAGACGCCACACACTGACCTGACAGAAAGACACCAGCTGAGGTCAGTTAAACAGTTTAAAACCCAAATCCCATCTTTAATAGGCCGGCGTCTCTTGTTGTCAGGGAGAATTTAAGCTGGATTAAGCCTATTAAGAATTAAGAATGAAAGTAATGCATTTGAAAGAAGTGGATTTACTGGATCACATATTTTCAGTTCATGTGGCCTTAAAGAAGATCTGCAGTATGACATGTTATGAAAGAGTCATTACAAGCATTTAATTCAGTACCATTGTGTCCTCCAGGGCAATAAACCAGGGCGGTAAAAATCACACTGCAGTCACATTGCCACTCAGTGTTTGATGATTTCGGTTAGCTGGTTTGTTATTAATGCTGAAAGGGAGACAGAAACGGGGCAATATGTACCATTCCTCCATGTGGACGCTGTGCCTGGTTCTCCTGCCGTGACTGACTGTCCTGTGGGGGATTCAACATCACCTCTTTCCTCTCCATTACACTGCCGCTCCCTCTCCTCCATGGTGACAGAACCTGCTGGAAAACACAAGCACCCAAATATTACCAGACGCTGCCACTGCAACTGCAGTTTGAGTTACATATCAAAGACAAATATGAACAAACTATTCAAAATGAGTGCTCAAGGCAAAAAAGGGCAAATAGATATCACTATATTAATCATTAAGACAAGTGTTTTTTATTACAAGTTTCTGGAATTTTATGTTTAAATATGCAAATGAGACATTATCTAATTGAAAATGCACTCATTTGAATACATTTCAAGAATATAAATCTCAAGCCACATTCAAAACTCTTGTTTCATTTTGTTGACATACTTTTTTTTTTTTTTTTTTTACATAGGGGATTTTGGATTTCTGTTTTCATTACTCCATAAATCATAAAATACTGTCAACACCAACAACAACACACATACATTGGGCAAAATAGCCCAAAATCTGTAAAAAAAATCATTTTTTCATCAAAAGCTTTTTACCTATAGTGTCTTGCCATAAGGACAAATACAGTGGCAAAGCAACCTGTATTCAATTAAAAAACAAAACAGCAAAAAACAACATAAGTCTTAAAGCTTAGGAATGTACGGAGCCCAACACATGATATGCAGGAATAAAATACATTTTGTGGCCACAAATTAAGACTATGTTTCCACAACTTATTCATTAGTTCCCTCATTTTAGTTAAATTATCGCCACGGTTGATTAATTTGTTACTTTGTTTTAGGTACACCATGGCTGCATTGGTTTTCTCATTTTAATTAAGTCAAATTGTGGCTACAGGAACAAATTCTTAAAGTCACAATGACAACAGATCTTTTCTTCCATACTGTAACGTAACAGATTATTGAAAATGTAAAAATGTAGGGCGGGACTTATTCTGTGCATCGGTTGTTGATTGGATGATGAGATGTGGGTGTCACTCAAAAGTGGAGGCAGATGAAGGTGATCTTGCAAATATGGGTTTAAATGGACTAAATGATTGGAGAAGTCCTGCATACGTCACCTGAAGAAGTCTGCTATTTCATCAGAAGATCCAGTTATAATATGCACTATAACATGGAATTTAGTAACTAGAAAGGGTGAATTTTCATTTCATGTCAACTTTAATTTATGGCCACAATATATTGCCTCAACAAGCACCACAAACTAATGATGTCTAGGAAGGTCAAGACGTAATGTAACATGTATAATATTCATAATATAATTCCATAATTCTAAAGAACATATGTCATTCAAATGAGATCTCTCACTCAGAAAGGAAACTCAGACGAAGGCTTCAAACTTCAAACAAGCCAAAAAAAATTTTATAAAAAAGAGCATGATGGCAAACCTTTGGTCAGGGCCCAGCGTGTCTCAGTCGATGCTTTCGGCCTGTTTAAGAACAGGAAACACAAAACTTGCAGTCAACTTCTCTTTTTAGAGTTTCGTATACAAGAAAGTAAGGAAGATGTTAGGTTTCTCAACAATAAAGAAACAGACAGCATTTCTTAACTTTTATTTTATTTTTTTCAAAATTCTGTATGTTCTAAGTTTTTGTAAGTGGCTGCAAGCAGTGTTTTTACATAATATGCATGAATATGCATTAACCTTTGCATATATTATAGAAAAAATGCTTTTAATGTTTCACCATTGTGACCCAGGGAACTCAAATCATGATGGTTTTACAGCAATTTCAACAAACCTGTAAGCACAGCAACTGACACGATAGCATTCACAGCTGACTCCACTGCAGCCTGCAAGCTGAAGAAAATGATAGACACATAGATATTATACAGCATGTGTCTATGAAAATGATCCCTCCATCTCATTCTCACTCACCTTTGCTAGTTTCTGAATACAGCAAACATGTTTAACTGCTGAAGAACAGAGTGTGAATGTGACAGCAAATCCATCTCTTCATTTCTCTCGTTGTGTCTGCCTCAGTTTCTTCTCAGTCATGCCTGCTGTTGCCACAACCTTCGCTCCTTTTTTTTCTTGTTAGGCTCCTCCCACTGTTTTAACTGTCATTTATTTATCTCTTTATATTTGCTTTGTCTTTCTCCTTTTTCCCCATCAGGCTCCTCTCGTGGTCTCGTAAGCTCTCTCTTTCTCTTTCACTCCCTGTGAGTGTGTCTTCCTCCTTTATGTGAATGCAAAACTGATTTTAAACCCGCCCCCTCGTGCTCTTCCTCTATCTCTTTATTTTGTGTCGTTTCTTTTTCTCTCAGCTTGTGACTCAGCTCAGTCTGAACACATGACTGCAGGAATGTACACACACAATTTCACAGACCCATGGCGAAATATGTGTGTGCTTGAGCCCAGGAAAGAGAAAGAGACAGGAGATAATAATGTTATGGTCTTTCTACGTGTATTTACTGTTGCCAAAACTGCTGCTGGTCATTGAGTTTGTAGAAAATAAACAAAACGGGTTTTGAGTCAAAAGTCCAGCTGCACTGTTCTCTAGGAGTGGCTTAGTGTGTTGGTTTTATACACCTGGTAGTTGTGTTAAATTGGGATATTTTTTTGTGAATTCTGTCCTCCCAACTAAAATGTCAATTTCATAATATTTTTTATAATGTCTGTCGGGTTTTTTTTATTATTTTTTTGGCTAAGGCTTTAAGGCCAGGGGGAAAATAATGTAAAAATAAAAAGCATGAAAATACAATTGGCAGTACACTCATATACTGTATGGCAATACATATAGTGTATTTAGTAAAATAACGTCGTTTTGTCATGCTGTTTGTCAGGATGTACTTTTATTCAGTAACAAAAATCATAATCTCACAGATAGCTTCCCAAAGGCTAAAGAGGTTCTGTTTAAAATTATGAAAGACATCTATGTGTGTAATAACTGCACCTTTTCTGAAATGGACAGAGTCAGAGCTGCTTTGAAAAAAAAAAACATTCTGAAAGTAATTTTCAGATGCGGGGGGGTGGAGAAACGGGATAAACACAAACATGAAACTTGTAAATAAAATAATCTGATATATAGCCTATGTACAATTTAATAACATAGTGGAGTTGTACTGGTAATCGCGGTGCTATCCGGCGCGCGTGCAGAAGAGCTTCAGGTAAATACATGAATTCTGTCACATGATATTGTCCTGTTCTGTCTTCAAACTGCAATTTTTTGTTATTAGTGCTTTTAAATACATGCTGGTAATGTGTTTGACTATAACATGTATATGCGGAATGAAGTGTGAAATTGAACTAAAGTTTTATGATGCAAGTGATGCCTCACTTCAAGTATTTTGTGGGTTTTCTCCAAAAGAATACAGTGCACTGACTGACCTGTTGTGCTAGTTAACAGATCTTATTAAAAATCATTATATTTACGTATTTAGATTTTTATGTTCACATCTTCCCTTGCTTTCTTGTGTTTTTATACCCCAGTGAAAAATGTTGTACATTTCAAACAACCAGTCACATGCACATTAACCTGTACCAGCTAAGATTATTTGTCGTGTACGCATTCTTACAGAGATACTGCGAAAGAACCAGTAAAGTAGTATATTTTAGAGGGTTTATTTAATTAATTTATTCATGCTCATATATTATTTTTTTTATTATTTGTTTAATCATATTTATCATCATATTACTGTTAAATGCTTTTCTTTTGTCCTAGAATAATTTGCACTGATTAAACGTGTTGACTGCATAGTTTTGTCATGTGATTGTCATATGGAGGAAATTTTAAAGATCTCTCATAAATCAATTCTTTGTTCCTTTGTTTTACTGTTGTAATTCCCCACAGATTGACCCGCTGATATACGAGGAGCAGTTGCTATGGGTCGGCGGTGGAGCCGGTCAGGTCAGCACTTACAGGATCCCTCTGCTAACCTTCACGACGCGCGGAAGTCTGCTGGCGTTCTCTGAGGCCAGGAAAATGTCTTCCGGTGACATCGGCGCAAAGTTCATCGCACTGAGACGCTCCACAGACAAAGGTGGGCCATCCACCTTCACTTCAGTCATAAATGGCTATTTTAGATGAAACTGACTTGCGATCTCTTTCGTGTATCTCTCAGGAGCCACCTGGTCTCCCACCTCATTCATAGTGGATGATGGTGCTCTAGCAGATGGGTTGAATCTAGGTTCGGTTGTTGTGGATGAAGAGACTGGTGCTGTGATACTCATCTACTCGTTGTGTTTCCACCGTTACCACTGCGACCCCTCCAGCACCATGATGGTGCAGAGCTTGGATGACGGGTTCACCTGGAGCGCCCCACGAAACCTCTCCGTTGAGCTGGGGGTGAAGAGCTTTGCTCCAGGGCCTGGCTTCGGCATACAGGTGTGGTTAGCGTTGTCTCCTTTCTGTTCCTCCTTCAGGGGAAAACTAAAGCATGGTTTATGACTTCCTGTTGTTTATGATGCTGTTGTGACTTCTTGGGTTATATAAAACTACATTTTATTGTCTATGTGGTTAAGTGTTGGTTTATAAAGGAGAACAAAAAAGCTGACATGGTACTTTTCCAGCCCTTTTCATGTGCTTTTAGTCCATCATATGCCTGTGTTCACAGAAACGGTATGCTCCCAATGTGGGCCGTCTGGTGGTGTGTGGCCACGGATCCATCACTGGTGACGGGGTCTTCTGCATCCTGAGTGATGATCATGGTAAATCCTGGAGATATGGAGCTGCCCTGAAGAGCATCCCTTACAACCAGCCTAAACAAGACCTGGACTTCAACCCAGATGAGTGTCAGGTAATATTAAACAACTCGATACACAGTGTGTATCTATACTGAAGTGTTACTACAGTAGTCAACATTTGAAGTGGATGAAAAAAGTTTATCATAGTATTTCTAAGACAAGATTGCATTTTGGTTTTAGGACAACTTTGATGAAAGGTTTTGATCCACTTCAAATGTTGACTAGTGTATATAATAATTAGTGGGTTTAATTGAATGTGGCCATTGCAGTGCTTTGAGTCATTTCTTGCATGTTAAGAAATACAGTATGTCAGACTTTCTGCTACTGAGTGAGCCTTTGAAGCCCTGTAAGTCAGTGGTTCTTAAGCATGTTTTTACAGTGTAGGCTTGATATTAAACAGCTTGCGTCTAATTCACTTTCTATTTGACTTGACACACTCTCTCACATGCTTAACAGCCAGTGGAACTCGAGGACGGGAGTATAGTCATCAATGTGCGCAACCAGAACAACTACCACTGCCGCTGTCGAATAATAGTGCGGAGTTTGGACGGAGGTGAGACTCTTCCTGTGGAGGAGCTGGTGTTTGACAAAACACTGATCGACCCCGCCATCGCAGCCGGAGCCCTGCAGAAACAAGGAGTCATGTACTTCACCAACCCCTCCAGCACTCAGCACAGTGAGGAAGAGCAATTCACAAAGCATTACTCAGAAATATCACAGTGAAAGCTTCATGGAAGATTAATTGTTTTTCGCTTGCACAGGGGTCAACCTAACTCTTCGCTGGTCCTTCACTGATGGGAAGTCATGGGAAAAGGAGGCAGTCCAGATCTGGGCGGGGCCAAGCGGTTATTCGTCTATGACATCACTCAAGGGAGATTCTCCAGAGGACAGCAAATACATTTATGTCATTTACGAAAAGGGCCATAAAGATTACTGTGAGACCATCTCTTTTGTCAAAATCCATCTATACGGAGGGAAATAACATACAGGGAAATAACATACATACAAAAAATAAAAAAAATTTTTTTTGAGAAAGCCAAGGTATCATTCTGATGCAAAGTCGTTTTTACATTTCTTTACATTAAATTTGGTCTACACTATGAATTGTTTTATATGAATTTCACTCCAGAAAGAATCAAGGCATCCTGCTTCAGTGTGAGATTGATCTACACAGCAATATAATACAAAAACAACCATGATTTTACCCACTGGTTTTTACCTGTCAGTGCACAAAACCTTCTGTATGTCTTGAAGTTCTCATAATTACTTTGTGCAGCTGGTGAGCTGCACATTGGTCGCACATGTGTTTTTGGAACTATTTGATGGTTTTTAAACCGCCCAGGCACTGAATAACATTTTTATTTTTGTGTTGTTTACAATAATGTAAATGAAGTGAATCTTCATGAAGCTACACCATTCTTAAAATGGTTGTTTCCTACTGTATAACAGTGATTGATTTGTAAGTCTTGAATTAATGTTTTGAATACAGAAATGTGATTTCATTTGAATTATCTTGAGGTGTTTCTCCAATCCCTGGTGTTGCTTAAATTAATGAAGGCCTCTAAAATGACTGACATAAACTGGAAGACTAGGGGTTTGAGACAATCAGCAATCAGTGTTTGTTCTCCAAATTATACAACTGTGAAGTCAGAAAACCCCATTTTATATTGAGCTATGTCATTCATGTGCTTCAGGTTATATGGTTTTATTTACCCAGTCTGGCCTTTTTGTGGCCATAGATGTACATTTAGATGTCAGACAATTATTTTGGTAACATCTTACTGTAAGTGAATTTTAAATAGTACATGCAAGTTTGTGTTAAAAGTCACCCAAAAGGCTTTCACTTAATTAAATTTCATACTAACACATTTGATTTTTCACTTGATTTGCCGGATTACACAGGGACACATTTTATTGTTCAATAAATTTTTCTATTTTGATACAGGAACTCCTTGTTTCTTTTATTTCCAACCATCTCAAAGACAAATAAGAATACAGCTTTACCTGACATTATATTTTAGTAGGGCAGCATTTCTACTAATTAATCAGAGATGACCACTAGAAGGTTCTTAACACAAATGCACCATATTTAGTTACATGGTACATCCCTCCGTCCACCTGTCCTCACACAATAACTCCTAGAGACTAAAACATCTAACACTTAAGAAAAACAGAAAAATACACAGGCGCAGTACTGTTCAAAAGTTACATTTTTTGTCTCTTCTGCTCACCAAGGCTGCAGTTATTTAATTAAACATATTGTGAATATTGTAAAATATTATTAACATTTATGATAACTGTTTTCTTTCCGAATATGATTTAAATTGTAATTTATTCCTGTGATACAAAGCTGAATTACTCCAGTCTTCAGTGTCACATGATCCTTCAGAAATCAGTCTAATATGCTGATTCTGCTCAAGAAACATTCATTATCATCAATGTTTCAGAATATCAAAGTATGAACAAATATTCCAAGAATGAATCCACAATACAGCACATTAACTTTGCGAGGTAGCTGTACTTTACTTGACAAGGTGAGGTGCCTGGTTGTCACAAGACAAGAGGAAGTTTATGGGCTATATATCAGTAACTATACATTGTTTGTGTCAAAAGTCCACTAGTTTTAGCTAGTTTTCTCTAGCAGTTATTTTGTGTTGCTATTTTATTGTGTATAACACTGCTCAAAACTGTCTTAAATGAGGATAATGTATGTGAATTCTGATGTTCATTGATCTGAACATTTTCCTGAGCAAATTGAGGAAATGTTCAAAATGTATCTTTAAGACTCATGAGTATGTGGCTACACAGAACGAGTATTTCAAGAGTAAACACAGCTAGCCTCATCTCAGCTTGTTTATTTACTTAGCTATTTGTTACATAGTTTTGACCTGTATCATTTTATTCCTTTACTTTTCTACATGTACAGATCAATCCAGCTATCGCTGATGAGCAGCTGCTCTGGGTCGGTGGTGAAATTGGAGAAGTTCACACCTACAGAATTCCCCTGCTCACCTTCACTACTCAGGGAAGTCTTCTGGCTTTTGCAGAGGCCCGGAAGCTGTCCTATAAAGACATCGGAGCCAAGTTCATCGCTTTAAGACGCTCCACAGACAGAGGTGTGTCAGATTGAGTCGTCCTAGCTCACCTGGTGAAAGACAAGATTCTGTTTTCATTGCCGTTTTCTTCTCCAACCATCTGTTTTTTCCTCTGACACGTTCTCAGGAGCCACCTGGTCTCCCACCTCATTCATAGTGGATGATGGTGCTCTAGAAGATGGGTTGAATCTAGGTTCGGTTGTTGTGGATGAAGAGACTGGTGCTGTGATACTCATCTACTCGTTGTGTTTTCACCGTTATCACTGCAAGCCCTCCAACACAATGATGGTGCAGAGTTAGCGTAATTGCCTCCCAACCCTTCTCAGCCTCAGATGTCACGCCCACGGACAGATGGCTGAATGTCTGATGCAATGGCACACACAATTGGAGCATAGAATCTTTAAAATATGTCCAGGAGTTTTACACACCGGTCTGTTATTGTGGGGACATTTCCAAGCCCATAAACATGATGTGGCCCAACACGAAACGTGATTGGTTGCTTTACCTGTCAGTCATATGGCCTCTTGGGCGGGTCTTGGCTATTGAAAGTGCCCATGGTTCCCAGACCTTCTGCCGTCAGTCTTAAGGTCTGGCTACGCGAGACTAACCAAACCTAGACTGAGTGACATAAAAAGCATCCTATTGTAGTTTATTTAGTTTTTTTCTTGCCGCTTAGCATTGGGTTTATCTGAAATAACTGATACCACAGACTGTGCAAAATACTAATTTCATTAAATGATTCTTCATGATCTCAGACTATGTATTTATCTAATGGTGCTTACAGAAACGTCATCCGCCTGCTGTTGGGCGTCTGGTGGTGTGTGGCCACGGCAGCATCGCTGGAGACGGAGTGTTTTGTATCCTGAGTGATGATCATGGAAACACATGGAGATACGGAGCTGAACTGAAGAGCATTCCCTACAAGCAGCACAAAAACAACCTTGACTTTGAACCAGATGAGTGTCAGGTAGGAAGATGATTAACTTTTCACTATTCTGTTTTAGAAATGATTGTATTTGGTGTTTGTGTGACAGAAATATGGATCAGAAGAGTTTGTAAAATCTTCAGACTTCTGTCTTGTGTTTCCTCAAAGCCAGTGGAGCTGGATGACGGCAGCATCGTTATTAATGTGCGCAACAATAAAAACTACCACTGCCGCTGTCGCATGGTTGTACGCAGTCTGGATGGAGGAGAGTCTCTGCCGGTGGAGGAGCTGGTGTTTGATCACACACTGGAGGATCCTGCGGTCGCAGCTGGAGCTTTAGAGAAGGAAGGAGTGCTTTACTTCACCAACCCAGCCAGCACTAACAGCAGTGAGCATGATGATATCTGCGTTTCTGCATCCTGGTCATGGAGTATCACAGCACTCAACGTTATGGAGCTCTCCCTTTTAACACACCTCATTAGGGAGACCTCCAAAATGTGCAGTGCTGTAGTATTGTGAGAGAAAGATTTAGTTACAAACTACTTTCTTGTTCAGGTTTTCTGTGAACTCTGATTTATATACCCATTTACACATACCTTGATTCTATATTATTTCTCTCTGTTGTTTTGATTCTGATGTCTTTGGTTTTGTCTGTGCATTGAGAGAGCAGCATGTGTAATAGCTCATTCATGCTTGTGGCTATAAGCTACTTTAAATGTGGTGTTGTTTTCCTCAGGAGTGAACCTCACCCTTCGCTGGTCTCTGAATCGCGGTAAATCATGGGTGAAAGATACTCTGAAGATCTGGGCGGGGCCAAGTGGATACTCATGTATGACGTCACTTAAAGGCAATGAAACCGTGAATCATAAATACATATATGTCATCTATGAGAAAGGCCAAAAAGACTCTATTGAGTCCGTCTCCTTTGTGAAAATTGACCTTTACAGCTACCAGTCACTGATGGGCTGATTCATTTTAGAGAGAAAAAGATCAAGTTGCTTACTTTTGAAAATCAGTATTTAGGTGAAGATGGCTTTCATTATTTGGTCAAATTAATTGTCTGCCTTGTCTCCTTAATTTTTAAAAAAAATAATGTTTTCATTTGTCTTACCACACCTGTCTATTATTTTGCTAAGTATTAATTTAGAAATATGGAAATACAGTGGCATGCAAGCTTGTCTGAGGTTGTAGGACCTGATTTTTTAATAATGCATGCTTATCCTTTTATCTTGTTATATATGTATATTAAGTGAGCCTAATACAGCATTTTGTTGCAATGAAAGACACCTTTCATGGAAGGAATACACAGCAATTTATATATTGGCAGTTAAGCAAAATAAATAAAATAAAAATGTAAAACTTAAAATATATAATATAAAAATACTCTTTTTAGTGGAGAATAACAAGTGTGTGTTGGGAGGGGGGTTCTATTAAAAAATTAAATAGCACTTTCTTCAATAATAAAAATCTAAAATAAAATAAAAACATGTGTACATTTATTTTGCCATTTTGTTGTGTTTTTACTTTTTTACTTCAAAATGACTCTCTTCAAAACTCAGTCTCCAGATGGCTACAATAACCCAAACAACCACAGGAATTTGCAGCAAAAGAGAGTAGTTTTTATTTACATAATTCAATGAATGAGAATAACAAAAAAAGGGGGGCAAGGTCAAAATAACAAACATAACGAAACTAACTCCCCTATAACCAACTAACTATGCTTAATAGGGTGGATGTGTACACACACTGCCAACACACATTTATTTTCAAACAACATGTAAAAGTGAATTTTGCATGACCCCTTTAAGGCCGGGGACACCCTACAGACCAGGGCGATTCTAGAATTTTCATTTTATGATCTCACACACACAAATTTACTGTACAAACACAACATTTTACTGTTTGCATTTCTAGTACAACCCTCCCCAGATAGCAAAATGACTCCTGAGCGAATCCGCCCCGGAGTCACCACATGCTCCAGAATGGATCCGCAAAACGGGTCCATATCGGAGTCCGGAACAGATAAGGATTACGGATCCGAATCCTGTCCAGACCCTACCCGTATCCGCTAATAAAGCGGTTCATCCGGCCCGGATCCGATCTGGACCCGTTCATCTATACCTTATTTAAAATGGGTAGCGTAATCTGACCAAAACTAGCTATGGAAATACCTAAAATAGAGCTGACAAACATTATGTAGACTAGATTGCTCTATAAAAGCTTAAATGTTCCATATGTCTCCCTTTATTAATATTAATAAACCATAAAATCATTCAAAATTGGAAAAAATCTAAACTTTTCCTTGGACAATAACAATGAAACACTGCATAAAAAGTAGGTAATTACAAGAAGCAACTGCTTTTTTGAACAACTGGGATAGTGCCCCCCTGGGAGTTGCCCTACGCAAACTGCGTACTCTGAGTACTGAGTGCTGCTTCAGTCAAACACCTTTTGTGTTTTGTTAGGAGACGCACAACAGTTCTTCAGTGGCTTTATAGGTAATATTTTCACTTACACAATTTAGCAAAATCAGACAATATTGTGTCTAATATAAACCACAATATTACCTTCTTATTATTTAATTGTTGTAAATAAATATCACATTTGGAACTGGTCAGTGCTCAAAAAATGCTGGGAAATCACTTCATGTAGCCCTACAAGAGTGATTACTGATAAACTGTCACGTTTTTAGAGAAGAAAAAAATCACCCACTGACTTTCAAAGCTGCTAAAGACGTTCTACTTCGAGGATCTTGATAGAAATGTAGTGGAGTGAAAAGTACAATATTTGTCTTTTGTTTTAGTAAAATATAATGATGACAAATCTGTTTAAGCTCACGCAGTTAGGATACGGTACATTTCGTTAATTAATTGTTTACAGTCATTCATGTGACTGAAGTCAATTTTTAGGCTGTCAAAATGTAAATGCCTCGACAACATCTAGTCTAGGCCTATAGATCGCAATGTCAAATTAATTATTCTAAAAACTAAATTGTGCATTTTGCTTAAAACAAGTAAAATTATCTGCCAGTGGGGTAAGTAAAATACTCTTGTTTTAAGAATATTTTACTTACCCCCACTGGCAGATAATTTGACTTCTTTTAAGCAAAACGCACTTAATTAACTTACCACTAATTAACTTATTAACATTAAAAAAATGAGTCGGCAAGAGAAAGCTTTATGTTACTGACTTTTTTGACGGGTAATTTTCTCTTTTTCTATCTTTCTACTATATTTATCCACTCCATGTCGGAGCTTTTGTATCTTACCTACATACATTGGAAACGTGCACTCATTTTTCATTATTACAATTTTTTAAAAACATTTAATACATTTACATTTAATCATTTAGCTGACGCTTTTATCCAAAGTGGTTTACAAATGAGTGCTGTGACAAGTCTGTAATTAGGCTATAACTGATCATTAATTAGTCTGTATTTATGATTATTGCAACGTCATCAAAACTGGTTCATGGCATCAAAACTACCCAAAATGTCAAAAATGAATCAAAATGATCGTGCATGACATTTTTTTGAAGTATACATGCATGCAATTAGACAAACTCATTAGTGAAATCTCCACCTGGTGGCGCAAAGGGGCAGCTCATATTTGTACACTGACACAATTTTCATACAGATTTAGATCGGAATCAACTCCAGACCTTTTACCTGCTTAACTGATGAAGAAATAATGAAAGAATAGCTCACATCTGTCCATGAAACAGCTTTTGAGTCAACTGTCCAATTACTTATTGAAAAAGGGGGAGGTAGGCCTACATATTAAAGGGGTCATATGATGCGATTTCAATTTTTCCTTTCTCTTTGGAGTGTTACAAGCTCTTGGTGCATAAAGAAGATCTGTAAAGTTGCAAAGACTAAAGTCTCAAATCC